TAGGATGGCAAGGACAAATAACCTGACACTGCAGCTTAATGATATTGCTTGCTCTTCCAGTTGCTTTCTCATTTGGTTTTGTTTGATTATTTCTTAACTTTAGGAAGGTCAACTCTGGAGGCAACTCCCCCTTAATCTGAAGCCTCCCCAAAGCTGCCTGTACAAGCCTCAGGGAATCGCAGAGCAGTAACACTGATGCTGATCAGGTTTACATTCTGGTTTGGATGTCGCCTTTTGGATGCATTGGCTGTATAGACAGTGAGACTGCATTCACGGAGAGCAGAGAGCCAGAACCTCCCGTGGCTATGGCTCAAGTTCATATCCTGAAATACAGCAATGAAGAAGACAGGGCAAATATTCTTCCCCCTTAAAACCTTCAGATCGTCTCAATTATTTGTGAAATTTCTTGCCAAATTATCCTATGAAGTGCCTGCTCTTGCAGGCTCACTCCCTGGCTCCTAGCAGTGCAGTCCAACAGCTGACCATTTGCTTGCTGAGCTGTCCAACTGTATTTTGCACATCACTTCCATTTAATTATCACCTCCAGAACAACTGGACCACCAGATTTCTTCACAAGACTACGCCAGAGGATATTTTAGACTTGAGTGGTTATGGTGCTTACATTGTGGAGCACAAGCAGAAATAACATGCTGACTATGATAGATCCCTACAGAGGACCCAGAGAGAAGAAGCTCCAAACCAGCTGACATCCTAAGCAAGCAGAGAACAGCTCCCAGAAGCCAGTGAGATGGAAGAAAACACCGAACATTGCGTCTCTCATTTAAGGTAAGAGCAGAAGGTACCCCTTCCCTTTGTGTGGAGCTGTCAGTCCACCAGAATATTGAGTCATTTAACAGGATACCTCAGGGACAAGGAAAGGATGAACAGTCTTGCTCACTCCTACACACTGTGCCCTGAACACCTGTAGCCTTCACACAGTTTTACAGAGAGAGGATCCTTTTATCTTTTCTTCCTGGGGCCCCTCTCAAGCACATGTAACCCAGACATGTTCCATCCCAAAACAGTCCGCCCACAGTAATGGTCCTTTATAAAATATTATATTGAAAAATCACTTTTACAAATTGAAGTACCTCTTTCAACCTCATTTTTTAATGTCTGGTATGGATTTCCATAAATCAATTATATCACTGGATTTATGAAACATGTTCTTATACATAAGAAGCTTAAAATCCAAATTTGATAAGTCTGTGTCTCAATATGTTTTACTAGTGAGGCACCCAAGGTTTATTCTAACATTTAAGAGAAGAAAAAAATCTTGGTATAGAGTCTAGAGTCATGGACTGAAGTCAGAAATCCAGAGCTTCAGGCATTCCAGAGCTGCCTGATGTGCTAGGCAGAATGAATCTGTGCTCCTAGAATATGGGGAAAGCTATGACTGATTATGCTGCAACATTTTACCAGGAAGAAAACTGGTCTGACTTATGCTTTTGCTTTCAGTCTTTAACAAAGTGTTCGGAACTATCGATGGTTTGCATTTGGAGAAGGAAAGAAAAAACTCAACTGAAAAACAAAGTCTACTGTCACTTAGACCAAAGAATCAAGAATAAATTTCACCTAGCTGCTCCTTAAAGAAATCAGAACAATAATAGCTGCCTACAAAAACACTACCTTTTGGAGTGCAAAATAATGACTGAATAGATAGTGTAATCTGACAGCAAACAACCAGAAATTAGACTGAATAATTTTCTTACATAGCTCTGAAAAATCAAGATATGTCTAATGAAAATAGACTCATCATTTCATTATTCAAGCTACCAACAATGCAATAGTAGAAAAATGAATGCCCAGATTGCTATCAAGAGGGTGTTTTATGGGCTGTAAGCCACTTGCTTTGTGGGTTATTCAGCAAAATGCTTTAATATTAGACTTATCATTTCATTTTAACTCTCATTTCTTAAAGATCCTACTATCATGTTTTTCACCCAGAGGATTTGACTGCATCCCTGTGTAATTAGGGAAATGCAGAACTGCAGCCAAGGAAGCACCTAACGACGGGGTGCTGCTCAGCTCTGCAAAGGCTCTGCTCAAGGAGGGTGGATGGAGCAGTTTTCTCCAAGCCTGGCTATGCCTAACCCTTGTTCACACAAGGATGAAGAACTGGAGTCTCTCTCCCTCTGTTCAGCTTACACAAACCCCAGGAAAACTTGCAGCCCTGTCCCTGTGTGACTATACTGATGTCTACGTATGAAAGATTTAGTAGTTTTATTAAAACTGTCGAAAGCAGAGTGAGGGCTTTAAAAGACACAGTGAGATACCTGTAAGCTGGAATCCTCTACAGATAAGAACCTGAGCAACCTGCAGGTGCTTTACCCTTGACAGACACTGCATATACTTGCTGTTTGTCAAGCAGTGAGTAAGAAAGCTTTCCAACACGGCGCTAGGATAGTAGCGTGTTTAGCTGGAGCAATAAAGTTGTTTTGACACACTTAACTGATGAAGTTGTTGAGGAAGGCAAGCTGTTTTGACTCTGGATGTCTGGTAGTTCTTGGTGAGGTTGAGTAAAGACACAGTTCTTGTCAATTAAGCATGACACGAAAGCAAGTCAAATTGCTCTGAACCAGGACAATGTGGTGTGTGAGCTGACAGTGGAATTAAAGGTATTCCAGGTGGGTAGGTACATAAATGAGCTGTCTGGGAAGGGAAAAATGGACCACGAAAGAATGACTCCGGAGCTGCTCCCTCAGGTGACATTCTGATGCCTACCATTTGGTTTCTCCCTGATGGGACCATGAGCCAGACAGCTTTGGGCACATTTGACTAAGAGTACAGTTTTGGGTTTTAGTTGGACAACTAGTTAATTCGCTGGATTTTTTTGCTTTTGCTGGGCAGAGCTGCCAATAATAACTGAATAAACTGTGTGGTGGAAGAAACCTTGCCCACGGAGAGGCAGTCAAGCTCACCATGGGCTTTGTCCCTCTATGAGCTGCAGCACCTTGAAGAGGCATGCAAGGAGAAGGACTGAGGTAGCAGTTCCTCTTCATCTGCAGGAACTGTACCTGTACCTGATAAAAGCTATTCCAGGATGGAGTGCAACATCCTTGAGGGGTAGGAGACACTGCTCCTGCTGGGCTGTACAGCTTGGCACCCCCAGCACAGCAGCTCTGCCATGGCCTTCGCTGTGCCCAAAGGCAGGACTTGGCTTCACTTTGAGCTACCTTCTGCTGCATCTCCGCACCCAAAGCAAAGCCTTGTTCCACAGCAGGTTCTCTGAACTCACACAAAGTCCTGTAAGTAATCCAGGAGTAAGCACTAGCAGGTAGAATGCCAAGAGAAGGTACTGCTTGGGGAGTCCTTGTCATAACCTGGCCTTTGTTGTAGCTCAAAAAACAGTCTTCAGTCTCCACCTCCCATGTGAGATATGGGGGTATTTTTGGCTATAACGACAGAGCAGTGCCCTGGCGCCCTCAGTTGTGCTACACGAATATGAGAAACACAATTCTTGGTTCAGCCATTTACAGCGGTCAAGAGCGGCAAACCCCTTTGCTGATATCCTCATTCCCTCTGCCCTGGTACAAATGACTGCAGATGGGGCAATGGAGATGCAAACAAATGCAAATGAGAGAAACATTTTACATTTCAATAACCTCAGGGAGGAGAAGGCAGGGTTGGTGGGGAAGTGATGTGTTTACACATCACCTGAAAACTTCTGTTTGCTACAGCAGGTGTAAGGAAAGAGTGGGTTTGTTAAATACACGGACTTTTTTGTCCATTCATTCAGGTCAGTCAAAATGATCTTTTTTAAATGTATGTTCCAGTGATGAAGAAGGCCTAATGCTTAATTAAAATGGTTTTCTAGGGACTGGACTATTGAACATACTTGCAAAGCAAAAGTTAACTGAACTATTCAATGCAAAAAGTAACTACCTGACAGCACTGCTGTAGTCACCATCACGACTCTATTATACAGATTAGTCACTATTGACAAAATATTTTCGAACCTAATGAATGTAAGTGCAATAATGAGCTGTGCGTTTCTGCCTCTCTAATAAAGGGGAAACACGACATTTATGCTCAGAAGCCCCAAGACAATTGGCTTGTTACAATACTTAAAATCTGTCACAGTTAAGATCAGTTGGATTCTGTGTCCACAGGGATAGGATTTCTCAAGCAATAGCCCGAGACCAGCAGATAGCCACGGCTTTACTTTGGCTAAATCTCCGATACAATTGTTCTTAATTGTGCTTTTAGAGTAAGAAATTTTAGAATAAACCCCAGTAATTTTATAGTAAAAAAATATCGTCCCACCAAAACTCACCATTTGCTTACAAAGTGCTGCTCTTCCTGAACACCTATGGGATATTAACAACTGCAGCCAGCTGTGACCAGCGATACACGGAGAACGTGTATTATGCTACAGCTGGAAGACATACAGATTGTGTCTTTAGTCACATACACAACTTTGCCAACAGTTAAAGCCGGTACCAAGTTCAGCGGCCAGGCACCGCGAACGCCCGGCTCTCACTCAGCATCTCCATCAGCCCGCTGCTTTCGGGGCCCTGCGCCGCCTCTCCCGGTACCGAGCCACTCTCCCGGCAGGCGCATCCCGGCGCGGTGGGGGCGCGGGCAGCGCTGCTCGGGGATCCGCCAGCCCTGCTCGCTCCTTCGGGCCGACTGTAAGAAACCCAGCCGCCGGCAGCAGAAGTTTAATGAGTAGGGACGGGACCCCCGACGCCGCCGGCCCGGGCACCGACGGCCGGCGGTCCTGCGAACCCGCGGGAGCCGGAGCGCTGCGGGGCGGGAGAAGCGCCGGTCCCCGGCTCCGCGCAGCGGGGCGGGCGGTGCGACCGCGACTCGCCGGGCTGGGAGGTGAGCGGGGGGACACAGGGAGCCGGACGCCCCTCTACTGCGAGGCCCCCGGTTGTCACAGCAACGCGGCAGCGCCTCTCCCCAAACTTTGGTCGCTATAACGACCGGGCCGCGGCCGCGGCATCCCCCGGGCGGGCGGTTCTGCGCCGCGGGGCCGTCGGGGCGGCGCTCACCTATGGTGGAGACGACGGTGCCCACGAAGTAGAAGGCGCCGGGGAAGTCCCAGCGGGGCCGCAGGGCGTCGACGCGGATGCCCGCGGCCATAGCCGCCTCGTAGCTCCGCAGGAAGGCGCGCAGCTCCGGCAGGCTGATGTTGAAGATGCGGCTGAAGTTGTGCAGGGTCCGGTTCCAGCGGAGCTGCGCCGCCGCCTCCGACGGGCTCTCGAGGGCCGAGAAGACGGTGGCGCCGGCGCTCAGGTACGCCGCGATGAGGGCGGCCAGCAGCAGGAACCGCCCGTTGTCCTCGTTGAGGGGCGCCAGGCGCCGCCGGCGGCAGGAGCCCGCCGCCCCCCGCGGGGGCATCATCCGGTGCGCGGCGCGGCGGGCGCGGCGGGCGGCGGGCGGCCCCCGGCGGGGGGCGCGGGCATGGGGCGGCGCCGCGCGGAGCCCGGAGCGGCGGCGGCGGCTTCGCTGCAGGGGCCGCGGCTCTGAGTCATCCCCCGGCGGGGCTGCCCGCCCGGCTGGCGGCGGCGCCCCGGGGCCGCTGGGCTCGCCCGCCCGCCCTCAGCCCGACGCCCCGCGGCCCCGGGGCCGGGGGCTGCTGCGGCGCGGGCTCGGCGGCGCGCCCCGGTCGGCTCGCTCTGGCCATGCGGGGCGGCGGCGGCGGCGGCCCCGCCGCGGGGGAGACGCCGCGGGGAGGCGGAGGCGGAGGCTCCGCGCGGCGCCCGGTCGACGGCGGGCGGAGGGCGGGAGCGTGCGGCGCGTCCCCCGGGGAGCCGCATCCCCGGCGGGAAGGCTCCCCCAGCTCCGCCGCCGGTGCCGCCCGCCCGGGCCGGGCCGCCCGAGCCGCCGGTGCCGCGCCCCCGGGGCGCCGCCGCGCCCGGGCCGGGGGAGGGATGGGGCGGGACGGGGACGCCCTGCCCGGCCCGGCCCAGCCCTGCCCGCCGCTCCCCAGTTCTCCGCTGCCACCGCGGCCCCGGCCGGTGGCCGCCCCCCCGGGCGCGCCCGGGAAGCAGGGACACGGGAAACGCGGCCGCTCCCTCGCTGTGTGTGCGATGCGCCTTTGCCGCTGCGGGGGTTGTTTGGCTTTGAAAACATTTCTCTCCTGCCCCGTGCCAAGAGAGGTGTTTTTAACGGAGTTGGTGCCGGTCGGTGGAGCGCTAATTAATTAATTTTAGTCATTTCTGGGTGCGTGAATCGTTGTTTCTGATCTGACTCCAGATTTTGGGCTGCACAAAATTGGACCCAAGAAAATGATAAATTTTGGGTTCGGTGCCAAATGCCCATTCAATCTTAGCCACTGTATGAAAGGTGGCTTCCTCCGTTCCTCCCCCCCACCCCCCCATTCTGGTGTATTCTGTCTTCGCTGTTTGCCTTGGAATAAACACTGTAGCCTTTCTTATCTATTACGCTGCAGTAAGAACTGCAGTCCTTCCCTGGTAGACTTGAAGTAAATAATTACATTCGTATTTTTTAAATAAAACGAGAATTCACACTGATAAAATATTGCAAAGAGATGGGAGTGATGCCAGTCCTGCAAACGTGTGTGTAGGGGATGATAACACGTGTAGGAAAGATCTGGGCTTGGAGGAGCAAATCCTCCCCACGATTTACAGTTGCCAGTGTCAGTCTCACCGCAACGGGAGCTTGTGTCCTGGTTTATGTTTTTTTATAGCCTAAGTTCTATTTTTTTAATACAGGAAAATATTTGCTGTCTCTAGGTAGCTACTTGATGTGTTTTAGAAAAGGGCTATTTGCCATCACTAGGACTTCTCCATAGCTGTTCTTCACACATTTATTTCTTATTTTGGATCTGAGAGATTATGCTTGGCCATGAAATTTCACATTACTGGCAGTTATCTCTTGGCCACATCTGTAGTGGGAGAATTTCCTCCTTTTCTAGCAGACCGTTTATACTTGTCAGGTCAAGAAAATAGCTTGTGTTTACAACTATGCTTCCTAGGAAAAGGCCACTGATAAAATGCGAATACTTAGTTTACAAAGTACTCAAGTATCATATTTGATAGCCACTAGCATGTTTAAACTTTGGGTTTTGCCACTATTGCTTTTGTGCTAGAGCATTTTTTTCAGTAGAAGTGAAAGTGTTTAGAAGTATCAAAGAAGATTTCCATCTTCTGTTGTGCTCAAGGCAACCAATACCACATGCAACTCTTAAGAAAAAAAGTGTCTCCCATTTCAAAGTGTCAGTTGTGTCCCATTATAAATACTAAAACTAAGTAAAAATAAAATAATTAAACCAATAAATCACAAACCCAGTAGCTGTGAGAAGTAATAGTAGATCTCAAGGGCAAAAGAAGCAGAAAAAAAACCTGGCAAAGTATATCTGAACTAATCAAAAGCCCATTGAAATGAGTGGAAAGTCTCTCATGGATCATCAAGGGCTTAATGTAATAGGTCAGATATGGACCATTTAATGACAATGTCTATAGTTAGAAATAATTTCCACTCTGGTAATCCAGGAATGATTACATGCAATCCACTGTGCTAGATTATGTAAAACTAAGCTAATTTACCTGAACATGCAGGAATTTTGTTGCTGTAGATGGATATTGGGCTTTGTATTCCTGGTACTTTTGTGTTTGCAGGGGAAATGAGACTGGTTGGTTGGTTGGGATTTTTTTGTTGTTGTTCTTTTATGTTTTTTTCTGTTGGAAACATTGAAAAAGGAGAGCCCAGTTTTCTGGAGTCCTCAGCAATTTCACCTACTGTGAAAGGTCAGTGATGTTTTTAGTGAGAAGCCAGTTAGCAAAGTTTGTGTAACTCGTATTCTCATCATGCTGTTCATTGTCCCTTCTTGGGGGATGGCAGGGCCATAGATGGGGATGAAAAGTTGTCTGTTTCCTTAGGTGACAGGGCTGAGTCTTTTCCAAGCAGTTGAAGCCCGACTGACTCTGTGGTGGCCTCTCTGGAGATATCCCGCATGGGAAAGGATGATGCTGGTGGGATGCTGATTAGCTTGAGGAATCACATAATAGATAGGAAACCATACCAGTAACTTTCCATGAAGAAAAAAAAAACTAAGCTGAAGCAGCAAGGAATGTGGTTTAGCTGCTTCAGCATGGACAAGACAATATTTCAAGCATCACCGAATCATGGTTTCTAAGAATTCTAGCTGTTGACAGATTTTCAAAATGTTTTGACAACTCATTTCACTAAGATTTTTTTACTTGGAGTCTTGAAAATTTGTCACCATTTTGCAAAAATACTTCAGATTTTTTTGGTTATAAAGGTAGGGAAAAAAAGTCTATTTTTTTGCATTAAAGTCCCACAGAAAATGTATGGTCCTTTCCAAAGTAACTAACTCCTGGAAAAGCTTCATTAGCTGTACACAAATCCCCCAGAGCTGCAGGACTGTGGCTTAAAAGAAGGTCATGGTTTGGGTTGCTCTGATCCAATACCAGGATTTGTTTGAGGAAACATCCTGAAGCTGCTGCTGCATCCCTACTTGGGCAACTCTCTTAAAGGCAGTTATATGGTTAAATGAATGATGTTTTTATAAATTTTCTTGATTAATTGAATCAAATCTCGAGGGATTTGGTGAAAACATCACTGTGTTTAAAACCATTTGCCTAGGATTTTTTTAAAAGCTGATGGTCAACTGTAAATTGGGTTTTATGCTCAAATTGAACCCCTGCACTGTGGGCATATTGTATAGATGGCACCAACCATTTTGTTTGTCAGGAGGCCAGTGTTTGTGAAAGGGATTATTTTAATAATCCAAAAGTGATGTTTACATTATTATCTCAGTTGATTAGAGTGAAGCTTATGCAAAGAAATGAGATGCATTCATTAAATGTTTAATTAAACTGTTGTCTGAAAATAGGTTGGAATATTAAACATCCCCCCTCATTATTAAAGAATAAAATTTAATATGGTATTTTAAATCTGTAACAGCCCAGTTACTGCTATTCCTTTCAAGGGAATAGTTATCTTTTTTTTTTTTTGTGTGTGGGTAGAATCCTTAAATACTCAACCACGGTTTGACTAAGTGATTTTACAAGCAACCACATTTTTTGACTTCAGGGATACCAAGACCTCCACAGTTGTATTCTCGATTCCAAGACAAGCTTTTGCACATACACGTCCCCACTGACTTTGAAGCAAATATCTGCTGAGAAACAAATATCAAGTACATAATTTAGGAGCTTTTTACCACTATATTGCCATGGAAGTGTCTCAAGTATTTACTTGGAAGTGTCTCAGGCAGTTGGAATGTGAACATGCCATACAGTCCCTGACCTGAAATGTACAGCTTGTTTGGAGTAGCTGGACGTACTTTCTACCTTGACAGTGACCAAATAGATTTGTAACTGTTACTGCTGGAATTGATGTGCAGCTGTTCTTATGTTGCTCTTTATACAGCTCAGTATCGGCTGTATAAAGTAGTTTCTGTCTGTAATATGTGCCAAAGAAATTACTTTTCAATGAGTGGCCTTATGGTTAGCCTGGGTGCTCAACAAACTTCGTGGGCAATGAGATTGCCCTCTTCTTCAGTTGTACCTCCTGCTGGATTTAGGAGACAGTCTCTTTGGTATTACTCTGTAATTAAAAGAAATGGAAGAGGTAGTTGGTAGTCTATGCAATCAGGGCCTGGGTAGCATTGTGAGCAAGGGTTTCAGTCACAATCCATAATAGAAGTGAATATGCCTATTTTTTAAAGTAGAAGCCTGGATACTTTGGGATAGAGGGTGAGACCTTCCCGGTACTTTACTTAGGTACAGATTGGGACAGTGAAAAATATACTAACTGCAAAGTATTAGGGGGAGAATGTGTGTTTCCATGGAGCCTTAGATGTTACTAATGTCTCCTCACCCTCTCAGGGCACTTTGGTAGATTTTGAAGCAAAAGACCAGCGTTGTGACCCAAATGGCTTTTTATATTCTCGTGTCTCCCCTCTGAATTAGGGTGACCTTTCGGGGAGGGGAAAGAGAAAAAGGCAGGCTTGTAACTGGTCTTGAAGCCATGAGTTACCTTTTGCAGACAGATGGGTTGAAAACCAAGACATCTTATGGATTGACATGCAGGTGGTCCATCTGGAGTCTTGGGATGAAACTGTTGTCAGGTAGCTGGGCTGTGTAAGCCCTAGTTGCTCTGTCAGTAAACACTCTGTCTTTCATGAGAGCAGAGCTGAAGAAGCTGATGAGATGAACTTGAGAATCCTTTGGGAACCATATCTTGTACTCCCAATCTCAAAATCAAGTCAGGGTCAGAGGTAGGAGTTAGCCATGTGCAGGTTTTGATTTGCTAGTTCTCGCTGCCAGGGGATGCTAAGCTGTGTCAAAACAGGAGTACTGTTAACCAAATAGGTGGGTTTTTTACTAGGAGAATGTTTCTGCATGTTTAAGAGAAACAGAAAGCATTTGCTGTTTAAATCAGAGATTTCTGCATTCTTCCTGCTAATTTATGAATAGTTATGCAATGTCTTTTTTTTTTTTTTTATTTTTCCTGAGGCCCAGTCATCTAACTACACTTTCTCACTTTCACTACTCTCACTCAGAGAATGATCTAATAAGCACTGGCAATTACATTCAATTTAAATGTGATGAATAGCCAATTTTCAAAGGCCTGATGCCGTATAATGCTCTGAGCATCCTGATCACATTAATATGTTCTCACTTGTCTTTAATGTCAACGGAAGCTGGAGGCACCCTGCATCTTGTGCAGGTAGTTCTGTATTCAGATGACTTCTTTTCCTCCCAATCTTTGGTGGTATGAAATTTTGTATTTTATGGGAAAACCTTCCACTCTGGTGGCTTATGCTCTTTCTGCATTAGTTGTGCTTATTTGTTTTCTATTCTTGCTCTGTGCGGGAAAATCTCAGTCAGTGTTTTGGCATGCAAAGGATTTTTAATACATTTTAATAATGGAAAGCTACCGTTCTACAGCTGAGGGTGATGCAGCTCTGTAATATTCCTGAGACCCTACGAAGGATAATTTCCGAATGCAGACCTCACTGTTGAGTTTGTGTAGACTATAAGGCAACAAACCAGTTACCTTCTTGGGTTTTTTGGATCTCACCTTGGTCAGCATAACAGGAACCTGGCCTTTCAGAAAACATCAGCATTCTTCAGCTCTCCAAGCGAACAGCTGAATTCTTGAAAGGACTGAATGACCAGTTAGGCATTTCTGCAACATGTCATTTCTCTTGACAAGAATTTGGAGGAAAGAGGACAAGCTCTTTGTAAACCTTTCTGTTGAGGTGAGAGAGGTGGCCCCTGTGTTCTGTAGCTGAGGTTTAGAGTGCAGAGGGGAGGGATGGATGGACAGATGCATGGATGGATGGGTGTAGAAACCTATGAAATGGGATTGGTGCAGCTCCTGAGAAATCTGCATCCTCCAAGTCCATGCATGCCTGTGTACCGATGAGCTGCAGGGAGCTTGCCAGGAAGGGAATTAATTTTAGAGTGTGATTTGGAAAATGATTCAGTTTAAAAATTGCTATTTTTGATGGGCTACTTTCAGCTGGGATCCAGTCCTCAGCATGTTCCCAGAAGTACTTGCCTTGCTGCAGCAGAGCGTGGTGAAGAGTGGAGGAGGAATGTCTGTCTGGGAGCCCGGAATCCTGAATCTCGTGATGCTACTGAGACAACAATGATGGGAATGAGTCCTCCTTACATTTCATGTCCCTTCCTGCATTTGACAGGTGAGTGCTTTAACGTAGTTGGTTTGATGGACATGGCAAAGGTAACTTTCCCACTCTCCCTAGGGGTTCACTATGCTCAAGGGAAGGTGCAGGCATGTGGATCTGGAGATGGGGCTGCTGGGCAGACAAAGTTGCAAGACAGGCAAGTCTATATATCCTGTATATATAAAAGCCAAGGACAGCTTGAGAAATTGTCAGAAAAAGTCGTGAAATGGCAAACAACTTTATCATGCCATCTGAAGATATACTGTATGTGTTTTACAGACCCTGGGGCTACAGTTCCTAGAAATCTCTCCAGCCAGTGGCATTGAAATGAAACCTGCTAAGCTGACACTCACTCCATCAGGATGAGGCTTTACAGAAGTTCAGGACAGGCAGCCTTTGATCACAGCACTGAAGAAAATATTGGCAATCCCTTTGACCTGCCAGATTTGTTTTCTAGAATGAGAAGCTTCAGAGAGCGATCCTTGCTGATTACACCTGTCAGTTATCAACAGACAGGTCAAAATGTCCCTTCCTCCCTGGATTTGTCCCTCTTCTTTTTTTCAGGTGCGTGCTGGCTGATGGTCCTCTGAGACCATTTACCCTGCTAAGCTTTTCCTAAGCAGGTTCCACTTGTGACTAGGCAACTTCATACAATTTGGTTTGTTCTCGAGGACGTGTGAAGTCAAAACATGTGGCTGAACACTGTGCTCTGATTCTCATGCAGGTATCAGGACTGCTGATATTTTTTGGGAGCATTAGCATTCATCACATTAGCATTAGCATTCATCACACATTTATTGGTATCTGACCCAAGGCTCCTGGCAGTGACTGGCTGGTGTGTTTCCTGGGCCGTGGTTCAGATGAAACATATGTGTGAGTGTGTGCATGTGTGTGCATGCAGATAATTTCCCTTGCATTAAGAAAAAAAGTGACCCTACAGTTGGTTGATCATCAGTGTATCCATCCAATGTATGGCAACTTGTGTTGAGTGACCAACTTTACACAAGGTCTCATTTTCACTCCCTCCTCTCTCTTTTGTTGAGCATTGCTAAGAAGTGGAAGCATGGATCATTTTCTGAGTTGCTTTCCTGCTCCTGTTCACCTTCTGACATGCAGCAGGTGAGTAGCCCAGTGGCAGGCTGTATGGGAAGGCTCTGAGATCCAGCAAGAAGGTTCCCGAGGCAGCAAAGGGGTGCCAGTCCCTCTCTGGTTCACTTTGCACACAGCAGAGAGTGTTGACTGTTCCACTGTGTTAGAGGGGAAGAAATGATGGTAAAAGGGTGCATAACATTGTGCTGCTTAATTATTATTTATTTTGGGGGGAATATTTGTGTGTGAAGTGACATTATGGTACATTCTATATCTAAGAATCAGGCACATACAAGGAAATCAACATCATCTTTAGAGCAAATTCTAAGCTTCTCCTAGGAAGCAGAAGGTGAAGAGAATGTGATGGTGAGGAGGGCTCCCTTTTGCAGCTGTCCATTCTTGCTTCTAATGTGGTGAGCAAATAGGGGAATGTATCAAGCTTTAAAAAAAAAGTAAATTCTAGTTTGCTATGTAGAGGGTTTTAAAGGACCTTTCTTTACAGATTAAGGTTTTCTGTTATTTATAGCCACATAAAAGATGTTTCATCTGTAATACCAATACATTCTTTGTGCATGTTATGAAAGAAAGACAACTGCTGTGCCACTGAGCATGCAAAAATGTGCCAGGGAAAACACTCAGGACCAGAGCCATTTTCATCTCTAGTCTTCTTAGCCTGGAAATGAAGTTCAGCCTCCCATTTTCCTATTTTTTGAGATGGCCACTGGCCATATGCACCTAGGCACTAGAGGGAAACAGAATGAAGAAGTTTGGCAGCATTTTGCAGTCATTTCACAAATGAGCAGTCAAAGTGGTGGAAAGGGAAAGCGATTAAACTTCTTGAAGGAGATTTAATCCACTGTAGGTATACTGTGACCAGTGCTGTCACTTTGGTTTGACACTGGGGTATAATTAAGCCCTTAACAAGCACTTATCTGGTAAAAACTGATGAAAATTCATCAGTTGAAACAGAAATAAAAATGCACAATGAAGAACATACAATATTGAAACCAAGCTACATGGTGTACTTCAGATAAGTAAGAGCTTAGGTAAGGAATGAAGTGAACATAAAAGAATAGTGGGATGAGAAATGCCTAAGAGTGGACACTTCAGAAGTGGAGTAAATAATGGTATCTCTGAGAGCACACGGTGCCCGAGAGATCACCTCTGTAGCTCTGCATCTGTGAGAAGTGCGGGAGGTATGGATGGAGAATAGAAAGGTTTCTGAAAGCTTTCTTTAAAAAGGTTTCTGAAAGCTCAGGCTTAGAATCTTCTCTGAATATTTCCTCCCAGCTGCACAATCTCCTTGCTGGCCCTTCAGGTTTGTTGACTTCCAGTTATGTGAGATAGTCAGCGTGGTCTGGCACAGAGGTTGGAAGGTTTTCAAGCACTGCTTGCCAAACTGTATTTTAATTTTCTAAATCAGAAGTTCAGTGTGCTAATAGATGTTTTGGAGATGTGAGATCTTGTTCCTTGTGAAAGAAAGCTGCCACTGGGCAGCTGAGTGTCGTGTTCCCCCGGTAGGCAGGGGCTGCTGGGTTTCCTTGGACTCTCAGCTATATCTCAAGACAGAGCCATTCTCATTTTGCCATGACTCTGTATCAGGTTCAGCCCCTGTACCTTCTGATTGCACCATGCTGTCAGCTCCTGACTCCTGGTCTAACAGCCAGGTCGTCTGATTCAGACTTAGAAAGCATGGGGGTTTCTCACCGGTTATAAGCTGATTTATTGCAACAACTCGACCCACTAATTTCTCTTCCAATTGCCTTGCTTACCCTTCTGACCTTGGTCCTGTTTCTCTCCTTAGGCTGAGAAATATTCCAGAATAGAATGTCTTTTATTTTAATACGTTGTCACAACTGCGTTGGAGATGCAATGAAATCATGGCAAGCTTCCCACCATCCACGAAGGAAATAAAAGAGAATCCTGCTGGTGTGAGAACCATTGTACTGGGGAGATCTTGCCATGCTGATAATGATAGAAGAATAAAATGCTCTGCTGTGAAAAAGATACATTCTAGCAAGCAGTCTTCATTGCTGTCCAAATGCCAGCATGGCTTATTATTTTCTAATGAAATGAAATATATTTGTGCTCTCTGAAGTTGACTGTGTTGATTTAATTTGTTTTATGATCAAGATTCTAAATTTCATATCTTTTATGTTTTATAAGTAGTGAGCAGGGATTTAGCTGCATGAGGCATATTAATATCAATACAGTTAACTCCCCATGCACTTCTTTAAAGACTATTTTATACATAACAACATGGAATTTCACCTCTATATTTCTCCTAGTCTCTGCAGGAAAAAACAGTGATAGCTAATCTGAAGGCAAGCACACATTTTATTATTGCTCTCAGAGCAGTAAGCATTTTTTAGTACTCTGAATTTTTCCTGCTGACAAGCAGGCAGTGTGTAACATAGAAATCAAATAGCTGCTTTTTTTTGTGGTCAAACTGCGGAAAGCAACAGAATGATCTCAGGCAAGAAATCACAGATTATTCTTTATTTTTTGTGATTTCAGTGTGCTGTCTTTAGAGTTTTTTCTTATAGAACTGGAATGCACTAAGTTATGGAGATACTTCTCCAGTGTTAAGTATTATTAGAAAAGGAATATTCACTTTTCTAGAGGAAATATTCTGTATCTGCTTCCTTCCTCATGAGTAAAAATGATCCAAATACCCTTGAGAATGGGAACTGGGGGGAAAAAAAAGGCATGCTTTCAAAGCAAAAGATGTTAATTTTATTCTTTCCTTGTCCTTACGACCCATGTTTCTGACTTTCATCCCAACCATTAAATTTGTCTCTCTGTACTAAAACACAAATGTCACATCTTAAACATTTGTCCATCCAGGAGAATGGAACAATCTGGGGATGATCCTAGATGATTTTAAGTATTTTCAAGAAGAAGGAAAAGTCTCTCAGCATCACCTGAAGACTGTTGGTGGATCTTGGTCATAACGAGATGTTCTGTTTGAGCTCAGCCTGGTGAGAACTCTTGCCAGAACAGAGTCTGTGCTGTGGGAGAAACCAGCTGGCTGGACCCACAGCACAGTGTGCACTTTGTAGGGTGTTATCTGTGGGATCACACTCGTATCGTGCTTACCCTCAAGTAAGGAAGCATTACATTTGTCAGAGTTAGGCTTCCTAAAATTTGCCTTTCCTGATCTGACTTGTGATTCAGATAAACAAAATTCAGGTTATTCCAGTGGTACTTCACAAGGGTTGGACTCGTGATGGCCCAGTCACAATTTTCACCTGGTTTGGGACTGCAAAACACTCCTTTTGCTCTGAACTGAGTACATTCCATTTGGCAAGCATGGAGTGTCTCTGAAGCTGTGAGTTTCTGGTCAGGAAGAAGATGGTGCACTGAACCGGTCAATGGTACTGTTGTGTATTAATCCCATTAAGCAAATACTCTCATCTATGATCAAGTGCTGAAGTTTTAAGGGGCCATTGCAATAAAACAGAATGTAAATCATCGCCTTAACACAGTATGTAGAAGCTTGTGCCATGGGATTCAGCCTAACAACAAAGTAAATCTATGAATCATCTGGAAATGACTGAGGAGATGAGTGCCTGGATTTTATCAGTTGAGTATTAAATAATCATGTGCTGTCACTGTATGTGCCCAAGTCTCTCTCTCTCTCACACACACACACTGGAAGTGCATAGCTGATGGAGATGCAGCTCAAGAGTTCATTATTTGGCAGTTGTAGGACTTATGAATCCTGAGGACTGCCTGATCTTAAGATACTTCTTCTAGGCTTCATCATATTTACAGAATCACAGAACTGGTCAGGTTGGAAGGGATCACAGTGGGTCATCTCGTCCAACCTCCCTGCTCAAGCAGGGTCATCCCAGAGCACATGGCACAGGATTGTGTCCAGGTGGTTCTTGAATATCTCCAGTGAGGGAGACTCCACAACCTCTCCAGGCAACGTCTTCCAGGTCACTTGCACAGTAAAGAAGTTCCTCTTCATGTTCAGGTAGACCAATCATTAAGACAGAAATTCCCATTGTATAGCACAACAGCTGCTGCAGATTAACTCCCATGACCACCTTTTCAACCTTTCTAGGAAAGCACTTTGAATTTTGTACTTCCAAATGCTTACAGCTCATTCTATCAGAACAAGACAAAAAAGGGAGAAAAGGCCCGGCCTTGGGACTGGTGTCAATACATGAATCAGAGGGATGAAGATCAGGGAAAGAAAAGGTATGTTTAAGCTACAGAATAATATTGGCCCAAAAGCAAATGAGTGTGTACTGCCTATGAATACACTGAGAGTCAATATTTGAGAATGTTCCTAGCTGTTGAAGTAATCAAGTTTTTAAGCGGTGTTCCAGTAGGAGGAATGAGAGCAAAAAGCTGCACTTCCTGTGAGGTGGAGTCTGAAGTGTATTATGTAAAGTGATGTCTGCAATAGTGAAAAACTGAATTTAATGGCAAAAGGGCCCCAAAACATCATCAGATATTTCAAGTTGGATAACATACAGACCTTAGTCATATGTGATATCTCTTCCTGATCACTGCTAAAATGGGTGTCGTGTTTCTACCCTCTTTTCATGGCAATATTGACTTT